GTTTTAGTTTCCCCAAAAAATTCACTGCTGCAGTTAAAACTCCACCAGACTTTGTGAGCACCTAAAACTGAGAAGTTTGGAAACCCTCTTGGCCCAGTTTTAGTTTTAACACTTCATATAAAACAATATGCAAATCGCGTCCTTGACGGGTTCACACATAGCGACTGCTTATCAAGCGCAGATTTGCCTACAATCATCATCATCATCACCACAAGATTACAACAGATGTAATTATGGCTGGAACATTTACCTTTAACCTATAAAACCTGGGTTGTATCTGAACTCAGGTGATCAGCAAACATGACCATGTTTTTGTCCTCTTTTAACTCCACATCGATCTGTGTGTCTACGTGACAGCAGCACACTTTCACCTTGTCACCGTCACCACATGACAGAGTGCTGCTGCGGTAATGGGGGGACACATGAGAGAGAGATGTTGGCTGTGGGCGGAGCCATTCAGAGGTTATTAACAGCCTGGTGTTGGAGTGTCGACCTGGTATCAGTGCAGAGGTCACAAGGAAGGGGCCATAAAAACCACTGTTACTGGTATGTATGGAGGACAGATGTCAGCTCACCCCATGACAGTTCATGTTTGAGGTCAATTAAACAGTGAAGAAGGAGAATGTTATGTTCTCATCCAACATCAGGGAGTGAAAAATATAAAAGATTATATCGATATATTGGTCGATAAATATTTAAATAACAACAAATTCCAATAATTCCAAAGATGTCGTTATGAAACCATTATGATAAATAAATGTAACTGAGGCTTGTTATTTTACAGTTTAACCATAAACTTTCTTATGAATAACTATCAATAAAAAGAAAACACAAATATGTAGAATCTGAATTCTGATTTTCATATCAGCAAACAAATGCTGTTATTGATATTTCTGTGAAAGACTCATATCTGTCGGCCAATCGATAAATCAGTCGGACTCTAAGCATCTGCAAATCACTTTACATCCCACTGACCTGTATGAAGTCCTACATTACATACTTTCAATTTCACATTGATGTATTTCTACTTTTAAAGCTGCAATCTGATAACTTCTTCCTTTGCTAATGGGCCTGAACTTTAACAACTCTTGAGGAGGATTCTCAGTGGAATGATTTCAGTGTGTGTGGGGATGACTCCTGTAACGTGTTTCTATGGTGACACGCACTCTGACGATCCTCAGCTTTGAAAAAAGAAAGAACAAAGAAAAAACCCTCTACTCATTCATTATTCCCAGGCACCATCTCTAATTACCAAGGCCACTCATTATGCTCACAGGTAAACACCAGCGTGAGGGATATTGATCCAGGTGAGGACCTCAATAAACACAAATTGGTAAAAAAAAAAAAAAGACAGTTGGAAATGTAGCGTCTGATTTACAGTATCTACAGACAACGAACAAAGTGTTAAGATTAAAAAAAATCTGCCTCAGATATCTTAAAAATGGCATTTACGGCAGCAAGCTCAACAATTCTGTGTGTGTGTCCTGTCTCGGAGAGAGAGCCAGGTGTGCAAACGTGCATGTGATGACCAGGCAAGACGCCGACTCCATAAATCACGTCACCTTTCAGATATTTTCAAAACAGCAGAAACACACAGAGCAGCACAAAAAAATACAGAGGAGAATGTGCATTATAAAAGAAAAAGATTTCAACGTATTTAACACCCACTACTGCCCTCGCTTGGCCTCTGTACACCCACCTAGCTCTCCCATCTGCCATTCACAGAGGGCTTATGATGCTGCAGCCTGGGAGGCTGAGATTATATGGAGAGAGGGCAGGAGACAGTGAGGGAGGAGGGTGGAGCTGAGGGGTGAGGACGGGAGGCAGGGACGGAAGGAGGGAGGCAGAAGGATTTTTTTATAAAAAGTGCTCAGTGTGGATTCATCTAGAATATTACTCAATACTCAGCTGACTGTTTTGAAGCTGAGGTTGAGGAGCGGCGGTAATCTACACAGTTCCATAAAATGACACCAGAGGAGGAGAATGGCGGTTTGTGATCAAGGTCAGATATAAAAACAGCCGTCGCATTTAAGGCTCCAAGGTGACTTATCGAAGATCAAATTCTTCTCGTGCATCGCACAACAAAGGCTGCAGATCACGACCGGCTCACATACACCTATGCTCAATTCCTGTGAGGGACGAAATGAATAACTAGGTCAGCAGTCTGTATTTATAATCCAAAAAAATAAAACAAGAAGAGGCAGCATCTCCGAAAGAAACAAAAACAAACTGGCCGAGGATTTCTCTGCTCAGCTGGTGGTTTAACTGTCTCTGCTCTTCTTCTGCTCGTGGAACAAGAAAAGAGGAGATGGCTGCAAAAATAAGGTGACACCACACTAAATGGGTGAAATCGGTGATTTGCTAAACTGAGCCGACAGTCAGAAAGCTCTCTCTCTTACCCGCTGCCTCCACTGCAGATCCAATATGCTGAATCACCGATAAAGGCCGACAGCTGACACTCTGCTTGTTGTCAGTCATTGCACTGTACGGTGTCTGACAGTCCTGTATTCTGTCTCTTTTCTGATAACACTATTAATTTCATGACTTTTAGGATAATCATTTTGAAGCTTTATTCATTCCGATATCAGTCAGGCTGGTTTTTACTTCACTTTGTGTCTTTTAACACCCCTTGAAATTTCTACTATCTCACACGAGCACAATGTTTCAAGTCCAAATTGGCTCTTAGTAAAGACAAAGGATCTTTCAATTTCAATTTTGCACATGACCACATTGTTGTGGAAAACCACCATTGTGTCCTCCCAGTCAACAGCTTATGTGTTAACTTCACATTGAAGTCACATCCTGTCTCTGTCTGCTGCACCCGGCTGCTCCACCTCTCGTCTGAATATCGCGGAGGATTTTATGCTGTTGTGAATTTTTCTGTGCAGACCTCCCGCTGCATTGTGCATGTTTGAAAGGGGAATTCTGGGGAAACTCCGAAGGCTATTCTCTGGATTTTACCCAGAGGTCATGTCTGTAAACTGTGTATGTCCTGCGCTGACACAGCAGAAACATTGTGGCTGAGCGGCACACTCGTCTAGCCACCTCTCCTATCTGCATCATATTGCTCATCCCCCCCACAGTGTTCCCTTGATCGGCAGGCAGACTAATCCTCTTGTTGACTCTGCACCTGCATCAAACTTCTCTGTGATCTGTGCCGTCGACACAGTGAGCAGCTAGTGTGCACACACGTAGCCGGAACAGCTGTGCCTTCAGCCTGGTCGGGTGCCTGTCCCCAGGATGCAGAGCTGCTGACCGAGCGAGGGAAGCTGATTGTGTCGATGGCTGATTAGAGAGTCCCCGAGGTGGGGTGGGAGTAGTGCATCCTCTGCTCGTCTAATTACAGACTTAATGAGTCCTTTGCTAGTCCAGGCGGGCAGAGGAGCCTTTTGAGAGAGATCCGGCAAGCCAGGGTTCATAAATCACCTTTTACTTTCCCCGATCCCACCCTGCACGCAGAGGTTACACTCTTACGGGAGCTGTGTCAGGAAGTTGCGGAGGAGTGCAAAGGAACATTAAGGGTCAAGACGACTTCTACCTGATGACTCCTGCCTGAGCCTGGATACATCACTAATGATCTACCCTGTCAGGACAATATACAGTGGACCTTGGACTGAGTCTACAGAAAATCGGATCCTGGCCCACCTTCATTATATCATATCCTCAAGTGGAGGGATTAGCAACAGAGGGGAAGCCAGAGGGCAGTGAGAGCAGGACAAGGGGCAGTGCATTTACTCTGCATTAGAGCAGAGATCTTTTTAGCTACAGAATGTGGAATATTGATTGTAGTTCTGTAGTTTAGGTTAGTTTCTATTCTGGGCTGAATTTGCTCTGTTGTCTATGGAAGTCCTCATGCCATTCTACTATGTCAGCATTTCTTCTTAAAGTCAGTGAAATTTAGAATTTCTTTCAACACTTTTAACTAGTACAAAAGCAGAACTGTGACATAGCTATCAATATTTCTCTATACATAATGCACAAATACAGTGTGTAGCCTTGTGCAATCATCCTGTGCCACTGTACTTCTCTCTACCCATAATATTTCCATTTGGAAGGAAAGGTGTATATTGTACATATTTCTCTCAACTTTCTGTTCTTTTCTTGCCTATTAATATTCTATGTCATACGTGTTCTTGTGTCTACATCGTTTTACACTATCTGCTGCTCGGAATTATATTATTAATGTTTTATTATTAATATTAATGTGCATTTAATAATGTGAAATGTTTTGTTGTCAGAGATTCATGAGAAAGAACACTGGATAATCCTCTCACTTGAGCAGCTACATCTAAGGAGTGGAAGGAATATTTTTGCTTTAAATTTTACTTGAACTATTAATTGACTGATTTGATTAAAAATAATAAACATTAATATCGTTTTTAACGCATCATAGCAGGGTTTGAAAATCACTGAAGCCCTGTAGATGCTTAAAAATGTCATTATTTTTATGCAAAGTCAGCCCTGAAGTAAACACTATTTTCCCTGAATTCTAATTTTACGAGTTAAACTGCGATAAAAACCCTCTTCGAAAGCTAATTCCAATCAAGGAGACAGAAAAGCAACATGAACAGTGACTGGAATGTTCCACACATTCAGCAGGTGACGTGTCCCATGTCAAGGTCCATTGTGGGTCTCTCTGCTGAGGTATGCAAGGTAGGTGTTGCTGCAGGGAACTTGTGTTATTAGAGGGTGGACTTGGAAATCAGTGATAAGTTGTACCTCTGGAGGTGAGTGCTTGTAAAGTGAGTCACATGAATGGTATGGTGTCTCAAGGTCTGAGCACTAAATATACTTTTCTCTCTTGGTGGAGAAGTCATACAGCTGGGTAGATGAAAGCAGAAGTGTGACATCAGCACTGGTAAGCACAACATTGTTGTTGCACATATCAAAGTGAGACAGTACATATAATATATTTTCCCAGAAGACAGTATCATAAACTAAGCAAGAACCAACCTCGGATGTAAAAGTGAAAATGTGAATGTAATGACATTTGTCCGTACCTGTAATGTACATGTGTGACTGTAGGAGGCCTGTAGCCAAAGATCCATGTCTGGATGTCCATGGGTCTTGCTTTAGGGTACGCTATGGTCACATCTATTACCCACTGCAGGCCTCTACGCTTGTTACCTGTCAGGGAAGAAACACAGGAGTGAGATGGCAGGACAAGAAGACACACAGGGATTAGTAACAAAAAACATATTCACACGTCCACTCAGTCCAGTTCCTGTTTGACTCCAACCAGACAGACTCAGAGGGCAGAAACAGCCTCATACAGATTCCATGACATTTCAAAACACGCCTACCTCCTCCATCTTAAAGACCGTGTATGTAACCATTACATGTCCCTGGAGATTTTTCTATCATAGCAGTGCAGCCAAATGAAGGCTGGTTATGTGCCAGTGACTGGTGGAACACCGGCTGAAGCCCCAACCAAACTGAATTTGGCTGGAAGCTACGTCTGTGAGTCACAGGAAAATGGACATTTTCCTTTCAAAAGCTTCATGGCTTACATCTTAATTTACCAATAAAATACTATGAAAACACACATTCAGATATTTTGTCATTTTATTTACAATTTATAGAAGGATTAGAGAGAAAAGGGTGATGAAAGTATCGAGACAGGAAGGCAAGAGGGACTGCTGGACATTAAAATCTGGTTTTTAGCTGCAGGGTGCATGTGTACAATTATTTATGTTCATTATTTTGGGTCAGCTCTGCTCTCGCCTGTGCATGAACAAAAGATAATAAATGAAAAGAGGCAATAAAAGGCTAATGTAAATATACTCTACATAAAGTCATTGGATTGGCGTGGACTCAAGCATTACTTGTGTAGTATGTTGATGCACAAGAGGTGATCAACCACCACAGAAGTGTCGACAGGCATATTATTTAATAAAAGCTACACATTTTGGCTACATTTATTAATAATAATAACCTTAATTTATACATCATTTTTTAGAGAATAAAATCCAGCTCAAGGTGCTTTACGTGAAGAAGGTAGTCAAAATAGAACAGAAGCTTAAAAACAGACATATTAAGAAGATTAAAATAAGTTTTAAGCAGTTTTTTAAAGATGTCGACAGAAGTAGCAGGAGAGCATTTCGAATATTTATTGGAGACTCTAATGAGCTTCCTGCCTTGTTTACTTCCTGGATGCACAGAGATGAAACTGATTACAATCATAACATCTGCCCGAGGGTTTCGATAGAAAACAAGCACATTCGCTAAATGTCGAGTGAGTGTTGCTTTAAGCACAAACTTGTCAAAACAGCAGCCGCCTCGGTCAGTGAGGACAAATCTGAAATGAGGCTGATGTGAAGCTGTGCATCATTTGACTGCTTGACTAATGTCACAGTCCTTACAGTCGGCAATTACTGTGTCGCAAGCACTTCCCCCACAGAGCACACACACCGACTTCTTCATGCAAAGGAAACAGGCCAGGCCTACGTGACAAAGTAGGGTCAGCAGCAGTACAACAAGAAATCTTGCTCACGAGACAGAACACAGACAACATAGAGCGGGGGGGGTGAGGCAGTGAGATGGAGACGTCACAAACAAAAGTGGAGAATAGACAGCTGTAGCTCTCACACAGACACACACAGACACACACACACCCTTTGATTTAGGCACACAACATTAACGGCAGTTAGAGCAGATCGCGGCTGACGCCTTGTCAGTTTGAGTTCCTCCCTACAAACAGCGTCACCCATAACAACCAGCAACATCACATCATGCGGACCACCACCTATTTATAATACTTTGATTATGGAGTTTGGCAGCCATTATAGATTAAGCCAGGCTGTTTATACTGTGATAGATTCCACTGCCTAACGTCTGGGTTTATTAGGCCATCGATGGCGATGTTGCAACGCTTTACGGCCGTATAGATTTTAACATATAAGTTGAGCTACATTGAATTGTCAGGTATTTCAAATTGACATTAAACACTGGTGACATCTCCCACTACATGACAATATACAACACTATCATAATGTAAAAATATGTGTATCCGTCCCCACATGAATACATATGCTGATACTATGTTTGCATACTTCAGGTTTTACCAGTACACTAACATGATACAAGGCCTGAGGTCCCGTCATACGTGTGAAACTTGTCTTCTGTTTACTGCCTTTATTTTTCTTTGTATTCATTTTAATATTCACCAATATATAGTATAAGTATTTGATTAGCAATTTAAAACTTTTACATTTTAAACAAACATCTTTATTCATATGCACACAGTGAATTAAACAGCAGAGTTGGTAATTTTTTTTATATTTGTAACAAAATGTGAGGAATTGCTGTTTTTATGTCTCCAAAAATGTTTATCTGATCTACTTCAGACTTGGCAGGTGTTTAGCTGAGGATCTAAAGAAGCCCTATGGTGAATTTGAACATGCAATATTTAGAAAATTTTTAATAAACAGGTGAACAGTGCTTTGTAGCAGCAAGTATTATTAGTATTATCAGATAAAATGACAAATCTGTTCATGTACTTTGCGTTATTTATTTGTCTAACTCCATAAACGGGTGCCAGAAAAAAGCTGAGGTTACAACGTCCTCTGATTGGTTGGGACTTTGAAACCCATTTACCTGTGGGTCACAGGGAGCCTCACCCTACCTGACTCACAGCTGTGGACTTTGCTTACCTGCCAACTGTTTTATAACACATAAACCTTATCGGTCTGAGCTGCACACTGAGTCTTTCTGCAGGCTGTGAGCTACAGTGGCAACCAGTGACCCCTGTGCTTTGTTTCTGCACTGAGCAGTGCATTTAGCTCGGGTGACATTGCATGGACGATGCACAACAGCACACACATCAAATCCCATTTTCTCCAAGTGGCCCATTTGTCTCTGAGTGAGTCAGCAAGCTCTGAGCACCTCTGCAGAGCATCATGGAGGGTCACAGGGAAACAGAGCTGTGTCTCTGAACACACACATACACACAGAGGATAATGAGGGACATAACGCTCCTCTGGCTATGTGTGTTTTTTTGTCTTGCCCTCGGTTTTAATGCCATTAGCAAGACACGAGTGGAAGGACAAGCACTACTGCAGCAACCAGCTTCCCCTTGTCCTGCAGGAACAAAGGACACAACAATATATACATAAAGAATCAACTGGAATATGAGCTGGATGTGCAGCACACACACACACAGGGGAAAGCATAATGTGCAATTGAAAACTGATGTGTAAGATGTTGAAACGTCCCTCTTCCTGCCAGAGGTTACAAACATAATCTCTGCTGTGATATGTTGACACTGAAGAGAAGGCCAAAGACTCTAAATTAGCAGGAAAGCCAAAAACTGCACAAAAGGCACATAATTTAGCACAAGAACGACACTGCTCACTGTTGTCTTAATTTTACAGCTGCCAATTAAGAGATTCCCCTTCAGTCCGTCCCACAGAAGGATAAACAGACAGCGTCTTGCCGTTAGTGCTGAGGCTGATGAACACAGAGCTGTGTTTGCAAAGTCGACGAAGGCTGAGGTCTCTGGACCACATTCTCAATAATGCTGGCCCAAAGTCTCAGAATTACTATTAACACACCACACCCTTAAAATGGATTTTGAAGCGAGGCCAAGAGAGTCCGCTGGGTAAACAGAGTATGCAGCGTGCCCAGGCATCGAGATCTCAGTGTGTCTGTGATTATGACACTGTGTTTTCTGATGAGGACAGTTCTCAGCATCATTTTACTGAGTAAAACCCTGAAAAGGTATTTTTGCCCCAAAATCTAGATTTAAAGGTTTACTCACCCTCATCTTGAAACAAGGTCAATAATCCCTTATGTTGTGATCATGTCATTAACATATTTTGGGGCAATATGGATTTAATCTTGAGCAGCATTTTAGCATTCGTAGTTTATCTGTACAAACTGGAATTAAATCAACAGGCACAGCCAGGGATGCATTTAACAGAAAAACAGAAGATTTCAGACCTTTTTCAGAAAATGAGAGGAAGTGATCACGTGCACAACCAGCGGCAAGCGTGACATCAATACTTGGATCTCGCTAAACAGTAAAGACAAGGACATGAAGACTGTAGATTTAGAAACGTACACTTCTCTAGGTTTTCATGCTGTGTTGATGTTTGCTTTCTGTTGTTATTGTTCAAAAGTGAAAAATACAACATTTTCACTCCCAGAGCTTGTTAATTGCAGAGTTATCTCCCTCCTCATTGGCTGTATTTAGGACTGGTCCCTAGACAGACAAAAAAGACTCTCCTGCAAATCACCACTGGGTTTTCAGGGACCTTGATGCAATTTCTGGCACCTCGGTGCACGTCACCCCTTTCCTCTGCTGGCAATCTTCACCAGCAGCCACCTTTCATTTAAAACAGGACTCCCACGGGACTGTGGGACACGGAGGTGACGATTTAATGCTTCATGTTGGAAGCGTGCTCTATCCCTTTCCCTCCAGCCGTCATAAAACCACATATGATCAAGGACCGTTGAACGCAGTGGGCGGGAGTTCACACAGATGTAAAAGAAATGAAAAATAAAATAAAAATTCTTTTTTCACCTTTTTGAAAGCCAGAAACCTCAGTAAGAAAAAACCCAATCTGCACATTTAAAAAGCATTTAAAAAAAAATCTACTCCAACTCTTTCTCTATTTGTATTCAGCAAAATCAATGTCATCACACAAGGCCTGATAGAACATACCCAGAACCAATCTTAACATTTCAGATGAATGGTTGGATCCTTTTTAATCATTTGAATTTGAAATGTGCTGGGATTCAGTTTTGTCTAACTTTAAAAAGTTTTAAGATTGAATTCGGTTTTGCCCTGGGGTTGAATTTTAGGATTATTCAGAAATGTATGCATCGTTTCTACAGAAATTATTTTCAAAGATTTCTACAGAACTATTTTTTGGGGGGAAATTATTCAATTTATTTACAGTTTTTAATAAACTGGAAAAATATGACTGACTATTAAGTTATTGTTCTGTTACATTCTTCCCTTAAAAAGACCCCCCCCCTTGCCAGACTCCATGTTTCAGTCTGTTTGACATTTTACTCATCTACGGATACATTTTTTATGACTAATATTTTATTGACCTCTCCTTTTATAAAAGGGACAAATAACAAGGGAGAAAAAAATCAAAGACCCAACAGTTACAGATATTCCTAATGGAGTGGACTTTCGTGCATTCCTTTTGTGAACAGCTTCTTTTTTTATAACACAACTTTTTCGTGAAATTGAAATGTTAGTTACCTATCTGGTTGGGGGTCACAGTCTCGATGCCCACGCTGCCATTCTCCAGCTGGGCGGACAGAGTTTTCAGGATAACGTGCGTGGCCCCGAGTCGAGGCAACGTGACGTGGGTCAGGTGTGGGAGAGAGTGCTTCTTGGCAAATAACTGGCTGGTTTCCCGCCGTTTGCGCAGGAAGCCGCCTTCTGGGAACAGCACTATCCACTTCCTGTCGCGGCTGTGGTAATATTTGTCTAGGTGATCTTTCAGGTAGATCAGCTGCTTGTCTCTGTGAGCTTTACCCTGGAGGAACAACAGAAAAATAACATTCAAACAACAAGAGGTGTTGGGCATTTATTTAACAAAAACAGTAGACGCTAAATGCAAAATGAATTAACTTAATAAGCAAATGAAAACAAGCGAACACAAAACCTGAAGTTAGCTGCAGTAACACTCAGAGCAACAATACTGGTACAACTGAACGGATGCACAACATGATGGCCTTGACAACATTAAGAGCATTAGCATGGACAGGACCAGAAGGAGTGGCATTGATTTTTAGTTAGGTCTGGTCAAAAGCCATTTTAAATGCATTAGCAAAGCCAGGCTGGCCTCTGTGTGCCTCATGTGAGCACACGTGTGATTTGTCTACACGGCAGTTGGTAGTAAAACAACAAAACGTGTGATAATTTTGCCAAAACAAAAACCTGTGATGTGCTATTCTTACCTGCAGCGACTGTTCTGATTCAAACATAATAAACTTATTCATGACCCTGAAACAGTTGCTCTGGTTTGACTGAGGCTTTGAGAGCCAAGTGTACTGAAGGAAATGTACCCGACCATATTTCTTTTTTAATCATTACAGTTTTGTATTTGGAGCTGGGGGTGGATTTGACAGCGTGTGCACGCAGCAGCCACTGGTCAAGGGAGTAATCACAGTCTATTAGATACTGGTTGTAAATATAAGGGATGCCAAGGTGTGGACGTTTTCCCAGCAGGACAACACCGATGTTAGACAGGACATTTTAAAAGAAATATATCCACAGTATCTGTGGAGTCTGTGTTAACAAAGATCTTTAATGTTGCATTTCGCTGCAGGCAACCTAACTCCTCATTAATTACCCAGACTGTAGCAGTCCACTTCTCACATTTTGCACATCTACATTGTTTTTAGTATCTTCTGACACCAAATCCTCATCATCCTCAGGGGCGCTGCAACAGGGGAGGCAAAGCAGGCAATTGTCTGGGGCCCTGAGCTTAGAGGGGGCCCCAGAGAACAGCTGAGAACCCCCTAATATCCTATGATAGACTATGTACAGGACTGTCTAACAACACCGTGTTTGGAAACCCCCTGATGAGGACAAGTGCTACTGGCTTTCTACCAACAGCCTTGGTTGAAGACTAGAATGCTTTGCCTGGGGCCACTGGTCCCTTGAAACACTTCAGATCATCCTTGTCAGTTGACTCTGCTCTCGTCATGTGATCTAATAAAGTCTCCTTTATTTAATCTGGGATGTGAGTCTGCTGCTGCTCGGAGCACTTTCACTTTCAAACTGCAGAGCCAGATTTAAGAGTTAATTATTATTATTTTTGAAATTTGAGTTTTTTCAATTAGATGGACAAAAAAATCATCAAATAGGTTTTACGTCCATAAAAAATTAAATAGATAGTGGGGCTGGTGGGCGAGTTATGTCATCAGTATGAGCCTGCACACAATGTGACACCATTAACATAAACTACTCTGACAACCTTGATCAATGTACAAAATAAAATACAAAAAATAAGTCAAACTAATTTAGGTGCAGGGGATTGTCCTCAAATAACTGATCTGACTCATCTGGCCAACTCATGTTTTTGTCAAATGTGTAAATTAGATCAGATAATTTACTTAACTTGGTCAGGTCTTATTTTGAAAATAAATCCATGTGAGCAGCCACATGTTACTGATCGTTGAGTGTGTTCACAATAAAGTTAGTAATACTTTATTTGAAAGTTTTAAGACAGAAAATGTTTTAAAATAAAAGCCTGTGCCATAATATAACTGTGACTTCCATCAAAGTGTGCTGTGCTGTGTTGGGCATAATGAGACATGTCTGCCAGCTTCAGTGGACAGCAGATGCTTTGGAGACTGGGGCAGATGTTTGCGCTGTGTGGAAGTGTGAAGTATTCTGGGGAAGGGTTTCAGGGATGCACACACATGAATGTCAGAGGGGATCACACAGAGGTGAGGAGAACAGAAATGACCGAGCACAGGCTGGTGGTGCCTAACCCTCGGCACTGTGCCTGATGTGAGTCCATGACCCAAAAAAATGTAATTCCCTCTTGCCAACTTATTTTTCTGCAGCTCAGAAAGTCAGACAGGAATGTGTGGGCCATTTCTCTTTTCTTCTGACAAAAACAAAAGTGGACAAACACAAACACAGACACAACCCATCAGTCATTTAACATGATATGCTCAGACTTTTGTCCTGGTGCCAGCCAGTCCTGCCTATAGCCCCACAGAGAAAACATGACCACGGAGATAACGGATTGGCTCTTTCCCAACATTTACAGCAGCAAATGTTAAAACTGATGTAATCTGGCATACACTAGAAGGGATGAGCAATATAGATAATTCAATTTTTTGTTTTGGCACAGTATGTAAAAGGCCCGGAATGTAAAAACAAAGGTTTCTTAACGTGCACAAAAAAAATGGCACAACCATCAAACTGTGACGTAAATATTCACACATGTGCACCTGCTGCCTTTTATGGGAGTGTCCTGAGTTTAACGAACAACCCCACTGGGTAGCTCATGCTTGCTAGCAGCTGTCTGCAAATATAAGACTGATGTCACAAAGCACAAAAAGCAAGAGTAGATAAATTAGTGTCTGTACTGTATCTATTGAGGGAATGGTATTTCTTTAAATGCATGACAATGAAAGCCCTCAAGTGATGCAGGTCTTTCATAACTGTGTTACTTAAAATTATGTTTAATTCATGTACATTTTCTGAAATTTACACAGAGAAAAAAAAGATTTATAGACTAGAGAATATAGTAGATGCAAATTATCTTATTGTGAGATAATCCAACCAGTTTTATGATATTCTATCACTTTAAATGTATCAGCTATTTGCCAAAAATGTAGCTCAACAACCAGCATGTTATTTCAGGAATTCCCCGGCCCTGTAGGCTCCATGTGCAGGCCTGTCAGGGCAGGCTGCTCTGCTCCAGCTGACCTCACAACAAAGGGTCAGTCTGACCCAGCGGGGCTAAGCAGCCCTCCCACACTACAGTCCTACTTCAGAGGACACCATGGCTGTAAGAAGCCTACTGACATATCTGCTGTCCAGCTGGGACAAGCAGATGGGGAGTGATTCCACGTTTGCACAGCGCTGTAGAAACAAGCCAACAGTACCCAGGAGTTAGATTATGACCTCAAAGCTTGTTTTCTAATCCTCAGACCTTCAGGGGCAAAACCAAGGTGTTGACAAGTGAGGGAAACAGACAACATTGTAGCCCTGAGGCTAATATACCAGCTAAAGAAAGCTCCCTGGACGTAAATATGCGTAGTGCATGAAGTAGTGCATAGCATGTTAATGTTCCATTTATGATGGCAAGAAAAAAGGTTGAGCAACAAAAATAAATCAATGCCAAAATTGTAACCTGCTAGGACCTTCTGTGGGAATCGTGGACATCTTACCTGTCTGATGAAGAAGTCCCCATGGATCAAGGACACTAGGCCAAAGTTGGTGTATTTAAACACATGGTCCATCAACCACATCATTTTTTGAACCACCTGAAACAGAGAGCAGAAATACAATGAACATGTGAAACAAACCCCTGGTAATTCTACTTAATTCCCACATTCTCCTGTAAGCAATATCACAGGATTTTGGCTTTGGTACCACTGCCCCCCCAAAAAATGACACTGCCCCCTCCAAAGCACTTCCACCCTCATGACATGCACCGATGCAGCTTTGGCTTACTGTTCTCTCAGTGCTAAGAGGATAAACTGGGCCAGGGATGCAGTTGTTGAGGCGGATCATGCCATCATGTTTGTGCAGTGTAGCTCGGCAGCTCCAGTGCAGTGCCGGCCCCCAGCCAAAAAACAAACACACACATCATCACAGCTGCCCCCACCATCCTAAAAAAACATAAGAAAACAATCTCACAGCCAATCTCCAGGATGATATGTTCAGGGTAGCAGGACAGCTGCATGGTCTGGATCCAAATAATGGATTCTTTGGGTGAATTGTTTTTGTGACTCTTTACTCCCCATGTCAACCTACACAATTATACAACCAAATTAATAATCAATAAAACAAGGACCCGTTTGTTTGCTTGTTGGTTTATTTGCATTTGCAGAAATATGCAAAAATTACTGATTTCAATCAAATTTGGTGGAGGGATACGTCCTGGGCAGAACCCATTTAATTTGGGTGCGGCTGCAGAACCAGATTTCTTTCAATGATTTGTTTCACAACTATTTCTTCTTTTATATTTCTACTATAAGAACTCAGACAATCACGTATAGGATTGTTCAGGCTTGGCGGAGCTGTGTGCTCTAGCTGCCATTCAAAGGTAACGCTGTCGTAAACACAGATGTATCACTTCCTACAGCTGCAGTTGAGTCTGGACTTCCACCTGAGCAAGTTGTAGATCTGAGCCCTTTACTTTCCAATCACACTTCAGGTTGAAACTCATAAGATATGATTCAAACATAACCTATTGTCTCACTTACAGCCTCATAACCACACCAAGCAAAACTTTTCAAAAATGTTTATCCACGTAAACAAAGTTGAAAATGCACAAAATAGACTGGATGAGGTACGTGTACTGCACATTAAACCCTTTTGACACATAGGACCTATGACCTTCAGGGACACGATCAAGTACAGCTCCTCTCTGTCATCACTAAAGTCATGTCTCAATATGTCTTGTATAGTACAGAGGTTATTGTTGATTTATGTTTTTACAAGTTGCCAGAGAACTACATGAAGCATGACACCTCTTTTCCCTAAACTTTTATCTTATACTAATACATTAGTACCCTGTTTAAACAGGGGTGGGGTGTGTGCACTGTTGTGTGGACATGTTTCGCTTTCCTACCTGTTGACAATAATGAGTGTGAAAGAATGCAAAGCAGCCCCTGATTCAGTATTTGCACATCAGCTGCCTGACAAACTGGGAACTCACATTTTGAAATTTGAATGCAGCCACAGCGCTAAATCGTGGACCCGCCCGTCTCTACTGACTCAATTGTTCCAACTTGAAAAAGGCGTCATCCCATCACTATGTCTCTCTCGTGTACAAAATACAAAACTCCCTCCCTCCTTGAGGGATGATCAAAAAGTCATGTGAAATCAACAAAAAGTACAAAAAGATAATTTATTTATACTTTTTCATTACTAAATAACTGGAATAAACAGCAGAGGTTGATATCCAGCTCCATAAAATGATTTAAACGGGAACTTTTCACACAATTTATAGTGAAACTTGTTCTCTGTCAACTTTGGACATTGGAGAAACACTCTTGAACTAAACATACTTAATTTGTACATTTTTAGAGAAAAGTGTACAATTATACACAAATGTCTTATTTGCAATAACAAAGTTAGCGACCCTATTTTCACATGGAATTACAATGTGTTTCATATCCAGTGGCTTGCAAAAAAAGATGACAAAAGATGTTAGCTGTTTATGAAGCTGTGTTTTTATGTTTGATCACTTTAACGCTGGTGTGGGATTATTATGTCTGCCAAAGGAAATGTGAAAATGATACAACACCCAGAGAACAAATAAGATGGCTGCTTTTGAAAAAGTGACTTTATGAGCTTCAAACATCACTACGACAAAAATAAGTGTGTGGGTTTTCTCCTTTTTCAAACATTCCGTAATTATTTCTGCTCACTTAGTTGTTGTAAGTAGTTTCACATCACAATTGTATTTACATACTGACTGTGGTCACAATGCATCCCTGACCTCATCTCCAGAGGTGGTTTGGCTGATCGAATCACGATCTGTCCTCGTGGAGTGTTGGGCCCATTTACACACCTGCACTTTCATGTAGTCAAACTCAATATCTGAGTGCAGTCACACAAAGTGTGTTTAATGGAGGTGTGACTGGGGAAACATAAACATGCCCAGACGGCAGCCTACACAACCAATGTGACCAAAACACGCTGCAGGCCACAAACTTCTGCATGGCTTTTATTCACACTGATACCACATCAACACTGCAGTATTTGTGGATTTTCTAAAAAAAACCAAAAAAAAACCAAGAAGATAGAATTATAAATGACAATTTTTTTTCTTCTTACCGAGCCCTTGTCTTGCAGGCACATCATGAGGGTGCACACGTCTCCTGTTGACTGGTGGTTGACTATGACCATAGCTTCCTCTTCTGTAATGGGCCGTACATCGTCACCCCACTCTGTTACTGCAAGACAAAATACAGAATTTGTTGTTTAACAGGCAGTGTAAATAGACTTTTGTTCATTTCTTTTTAAAAGTTTTTACTGCATAGCAATATTACTGGTGAAATACTCCAGAGAGAACCTTTCAGTAGAGGGAGTGCACACCTCATCCAAGGATGCACACTCCTGTCATTTTGGAAAAACTAATTGTCTCTTAAACCACGAGTATCCTGACAGACTATAAACCCCCTGCCAGCTGTGTGATCCACGTGTTCTCTCAGTTCAGAGAGCTAAAAATGATCTCCATGTTCAACCGACTATTTGTGGGTTGCAAAATCATTTACACTTTGCTGTTTCCAAATAAGTGTCAGTCCTCCTCCAGACACGACTTGGCTGATTCCACCATGCAGATCTTAAGTATTAAGCGGTACCGAATTAGTCATCACTTAATTTGCTCATTAACTGGTGTGAAAAGGAAACTAAAAAAAAGGCTGGCCATGTTTTGAAGTAAGAAAGGAGAAGTGAGTTTCAGGAAATGGTATCACAATTAGTTTCACTGTTGACCACTGACCAGCACAGAAGAAACAAGAAAGAAAAAGAAAGCTCTGTAATTTGATGCCCTAATATGCAGACTGTTGAATCCTTGCTTTCATACTGAACTCTCACGTGTGGTTTCTGGTGCAGCCACAAGACATAGAAGTGAGAAATGTTTTAAAAAGAAATGCATTCAACTACAATTAATATTACTAAATATGAAGTATATCATTATTAGCCTTTATCGTACACATCAAAGAAATAAAATGCATTCAAACTGTAGCAACTAACTTGCATTCATTTAACTGAGCATTCATTTCAGAGCAATTCAATCAGTTTCCAGAGTCACACTGATATAACGTTTCAACAAGGAAAAGTTTGAACTTCTCTAAAAGATGCAAAATATTAGTAAAATCATCTATACTTAGTATCTGAAGTTGAACTTCTGCATTTGTTTCTTTTTTTAGTGAGCATGAATGTATTTTTAGTAAAGGACACAGCAGCTACTTGACAAAGATTACAGTCTGAAAAGCCTCAGGTAGAAGACGTAATCATCAGGCTTTGTGGCAACACGTTACCATAACAGCAAGCTTGTTGGTTTGGGAGCTCCCTGGCTGAAATAATACTTTGGATAACAGCAAGTTAAGTCTACATCCTGTTACAACAGGAGATCAGGCTCATTTGCATGTCTACAACCCATAATAATGCTTCCCTCTCTTAGTGAGACAGCGTAAGGTGTGGATGTGTGGCTGAGAACAGAACCAGGGCTTTGTTCACTGTCAAAGTGATAAAAATAATACAAAGCTGCAGGCTGCAGTTCTTCAGGCCAAGTAAAAGCACATCACGCACATAGGTACATGGAAGTCTCATCTACCCACAGAACAGTTCTGATCAGACATGTTGTGGAGATATGACTCATTTCCTTTTCTTGGAGGTGGCTTCATTCAAATGTCATAAACAAGCAATTTAGACTAATACAATTAAAGTGAATTAAATCAGCTGTTGGTCAGTCAGAGCTGTAATCTTGTGTCCATATGATAGAGAGAGACGTTTGGGCGGGTGAGGGTGAACAAGCAGCTGCATCAAATCACTGCTAGATTGTGTCAGATCACTTTGATTGCAGTTTGGATCATTTGTGACCATGAACAATGTATATAGATGTGTTCAATCATTTGAACAGGAAAGATGCACTTAAAGATCAGGGATGTTTAATAGCTAATCAGTGATCTCCTGCTACCATTTGAACAATCCATGTGTCTACTTGACAAACGTTTTCAACCCAAAAAATGACAGGTGTCTCTATCTGCTCCAATGGGAGTAGATCTACAGTGAGCTCTTTACACTGTCAGGCCCCTAAACATCCGGATCAAAGTGGGACTGTCAAAATGGCAGAGGAGGTAGTAACAGTGCTCAAGTAAAAGGGAGTATCAACACGCCTCTGATTCTGGAACACCAGTATGTTATCTAAAAATTACACATACAGATGATATTAAACGGGCTTTGGTTCATTGTAAACAAGCAAAGGTGGCATAATGAGGTGTCTTAATAACAGCAATATAGCAGGATCTCTGTATAATAGGGGCCATTGAGGGCGTTTAGGCAGCTTCACGAACCAGTCACTTGTAGCTGGTTGTTGATGTGATACACACAGGAGCTGCAACAATTGAGCAAATGCATCTGATGTGAGACAAGGGATGACAATAGCCCTTCTACAGCTTCCTATGCAGTTTAAATACACTTTAGCAGCTCTGCATAATAAAGAAACGTTCAAACTAACATGTTTTCATTTAAAAACGAAATGTGGGGGTCGTTCTATCTCAGGTCAGCTCCACTGTCAGGACAGGAAAATGCAAAGAGTTGTACAAGTTGTAGGCATGTTAAAAAAAAAGATAAATCCTCTAGAGGACAGGAATTGAGAGCCCACTTCGGGAAAAATGACACATCTGTGACACTTGGTATTCGTACCCTGAAGGCAATGTCATTTCATAAGGAACATGCCATCATGCCTGCTGAAGTTCCCATTGTTGCAGGAGGCGAGCGTAAATGATATCACAGAGATAGGTCATCTGTCGGATAGAATACATTAGGGAAATTGTCTTTGAGAGATGACACAGTTAGAGCAGCAGGATGACAGCCAAACTGCAGCCACTGTGTCCAATCCGGTATCACTGGTCAGCTAAACGGTGAACCGCTGACCTTGCCTTCTACGCTGGAGAGGGAGAGACATGTGGCAAGGTATCGCAGCTTCTCCCCCACAAATGTGCTTTCCAAAACAAAGTATGGCCAAAGAGAAAAACGCACCAAAATACAATAAGACCTGTGTGGCGAAGCAGGGTGGAAAGGGGAAATTTCCATTGATGGTGAAACCTTATTGGCTACTGGGTCAACAAAGTGAAGAGAGGTAAATTATTGCCAGCCAGAAAGCAGCTAGGAGAGAGTGCAAACTGTTTAGATTGAGATAGAGGTAGCAAAGAATATTACATCATATCCTATAAATGATGTTATCATAGAAAGGTATTATTATTAGAAAAAAAGATAATTGCCTTAATTAGGGTTTACACAGCTTGTGTGCAGGTTATGCATCCCCCTGTGGTGATAGGTCCCACTCTGTACATAACTTATATTTGGTCAGTTGATCAAAACATGTGCCTTGTGCCAGTCTGTCACAGGGCTGATAAACAGACAAACAACCCGTCACGCTTGCAGAGAATTTTGAGTCTCCGGTTAACAAAACTTCCATGTTGTTGAACTGTGGGAAGTGAAAACCTACATTGGTATGAAGAAAACATGCAAACCCCAGCCGGCAGGTTTGAACTCATCACAGTACTATCTACAGTGCTAACAACTCAGATAAAGTTAACCCCTTTTTCACAAGGCAGCGCTGTAAAGAGAGTTCTCAATCACAATTAATAGCAGCTTTTTTGCGAGCAATGCTACCAAGACAATGGCAAATTGGTGTCAAAGGTGAAAAGTGAAAACACACAGGAGGCCATATTTTAATTCAATACACACACAGGCTATTACCAGGAAGGAAAATGTCCACACTACCTAACATCTACTAACAACATATGTTATTTATTCTTAACCTGGCCCATTGGTCTACATATTGGTTCAATGGAATAAATTGGGCTTCATGAATGGCCTTAATTTCTTACCCTCATTAAAAGCTAAAAGTCTATTTGACCCCGTCCATTCTTTCTAAAGGTTTGATGAATCAATTGCATCACAACACATTAACATTAAAATATGGATTTAGCACATAATGTGTTGCTCATCCACATCAATGCCCCATCGTCTCCCCACCGGGAGCGAAACATCAGCCTTCTCTTATGCAAACATGTTTCAGGGCTACAGAACAAAAGTGATGCTAATTTCTATTCATGTTATTGCCTTCTGAACTGAACTGGAGCCGCAGGGCCATTATTCCAAGCTAGTTCACCTCCTTCATGTGAGCTACAAGGCATGACTGCATCATGTATCTCTAGACCCACATAATGTTTTCATACATTAAACTTTTACCATAGTCTGCTGGGAGACACCAGTTAAATCAGTTTGATCAGGAAAACAGATCTATATAGACTGTGTAAGAACAAATTGGCTGCTGGTGCTAGCGTTACAAATGTTAGCCACATTCACCGCACTTATGACAACGTTCACCTCAGTGCCCTTTAATGCTGTGGTTTGGTCAAACCAACAGCCCAGACAGAAATTCTTCTCCAGAATTATTGTCCTTTGTACAAGTTATCCCAACAATAGAGAATATGCAGTATGTGGCACTGATAACATGATCTACTGCATGTTATGTACAAAGCGTCACTGTTCTGCCTCCACAGTGAAGGTGAGGCAACATTTTCATGCGTGATAGTCAAAGCTCAGCTTCCAGACTGCAGCGTGTCGAGCTGTGAATATTTCCATTTCCCTGACACACATCTATCCAGCATTTATTCAATCTAAGAGCAGGCTGAATAAAACAGCAGTTCTCACGGGAACAATGACACCAGAATTAAGCATTTATTGATTTGTTGAGTCAAAAAAGTCTCACGATTTCTAATTATTTGGTGTAACATCACAGACCAAGATGTTGATTCATTTTCTATTGATACCTGATTAATCTACTAATTGCTGCAAACTTCACAAGAATGTATTAGTTGATATTCAGCATGTGACTTCAAAGTAGTCTGTCCACACTTAATAGATACTACCAACACCTAAGCATAACTTGTAGCTGCTACCTGAAGAGAACAGAGGGTGTATATGTACTGGAGTTGTGAGCTTGGGTAAAACCTAACACTTTAAAGTTGTTCCCCAGATTCAGAGGTCAGTCACACATCACAGGAAGCTGGATGGCCTTGTGGGGGAAAAGGCACCAGGAAGAACTGACCCATCCATGTCACAGGAGCCCTGAGTGCAGGTCACAGCACTGACACTTGCACATGCACCTGGTCCACTGCTACTGCCAGCTGACCTGTCCACTTTGTTTAGAGCCTGACTGGTATGGATTTTTATTGGGTTGAACTTCCCTCATTATATATGTTTTTTAAAATTGGAAATAATTCTTAAGATATCAAACCCTTGTGGAAGAGAAATGAACTTGAGGCTCGATGTTTTAAAGTTTAGCCAGCTGAGTTTCTTGTCTTGTCTGTGCGCAAGTCAAGTGAACATGCTACACTGACTGTACATATCATGCCATCCATCTGCTGCAGTGCGTCACACCTGGGCTTATCTCATATCCCTCTGTGTAACTCATTGTGAAATGCTTCTTTTATTGGAGTCTATATGGCGTCTTGTAAGTTTATTCTAAGGCTCTTATCTTTACACTCACATTCCCCTGGTGGCGCCATCCAGTCTTCGTATGTTAATATAAATCACTGAGAACATCACGTGCACGGAAGTGAAATTTAAATGATTGTCCATAGCCTGATACCTCACTGCTCCTTAATAAACACCTGATGCGGCTCTGTAGCTCAAAATCACATAAATTCTGATGTGACTGCTCAGACTACAGTCACATTAGCTCAAAACCAATTTGTGTCAGAATACGAACGAAATTCTGCAATTATAAAAAAGAGTTGTGTTTGTCAGTTCTACACTGTAATAAAAATTGATGCATTTCACACAAGGAGAGGATTTTAAAATATTCGATTTGGACAATTTACCAGCAGTTTGATTATAACACAACTTTATGTGAAGGAGTATAAAGTTAATATGAGAAGTCCCAGACTGTGGATTACAGTATGTGCTGCTAGTCAACATTAAACTGAAGTCACCAAGTGGAACGTTTCATTCGGTCATAACTCCCTTTCAACCTCTGTCCCAGGTCTGTAACTCATATTCCTCGACAGATCACCAGGTGTTCTATAGGTGGAAAGCTTTGCATTATTAATCAGTGTGCCTTGTTGCTCCCCATGTTCACCACTTAGCAATTTGTAAGCATTTACTCTCTGCTCTGTGCAACCAAACACCACCGACAGCCTGAATCACTTCAACACAGTCAACCAGCCAGCTGAGGGGACTTAACAAATGCTTATGATATCCCGCTGCTCTTCTTATACATGTGTCAGTTTGTACTTTCTCTGTGCCATTATCAAGTATAATCTTGAGTCCAAATCCCAAAGGTAAATCATTTACTGTCTGACAGGAAAAAACTGAAAAGCTGCAAATTAGAAAATCTGGAGCAAGAAAAATCATAAATTTCTCTAGAAAAACAAACAGTTTCTCGCTTTTCTAAACATTACAATCAATTATTCATTTTAGCGTTACAGGTGATACTCCTTGTAAGTGGATGTTAAATAGTATCAGATGCATTTAATTTTCAAATCAAAAAAAGACTAAGTTGTGTTTTTGAAGATAATTAATTTGTCATAGAATCGCTATAATAGATGTACGTCATGTTTCTTTGGATGTAAATGCTCTATTGAAAGCGGAGCAAAGAGCAGAGCCACTTAAGAGTCAAAACAAAGGTGAGTATTCTTATTCATTTTCCTTCCACTGTCTCATCTTGATGCGACCATCTGCTCTTTCGCTGCTTCTGACTTGTTTCTAATCAAGGTGAGAAAATACTGTTTGGGTAGAAAATAAACTTTGATGTCCATGTTTACACTGTGTCCAGTTGTCATCAGCTGGGCAGAAACTAGTCCCACTGCAGTTTGGGCCTTTTTGTGTAATTATAGTTGAGAGTTTGGAAAGCACAGACAGTTGTTTAACAACACTGCTCTAATGCTTTTTCCAAGAAAACAACACTCAAAAAAACCTGGTTAGACTCTTCTCACTATCTGGATGAAAAGAAACTCTGATTGCTGCACATTATTTAAGTTATGACACTGTTTTGCAGCCCAAACAAACATGGTAGCTGTAAAAGGATCTTTAGATTTTTAAGAGCGTGTCTGTTTGGAAAAATATGTAAGAAAACTTCCCTCAATGTGCTCTTTGGTGCAGAGGTGATCATTTCTGCTGCAAAAAAGGGAATAAATCAAAGCACTAAAATTTAAAAAAAGCCTTTATTTGGCAAAGATAAAAAGAAACATGTACCTACATACTTGTGTGGCATCTTTGCTTGGTTTATACAACATGAACAAAATGTAGACATGTTGTTATGAGAGTGTTGTGGGTAAGTGTTACTCACCACATGTAGTCTAACTGGTATTTTGGAGAGTTGTTTCTCAATTTCCTGGGTTGAATCAGGTTTATATTTTCCCATAGAAACATCTTGTCTCTCACAGGGGTGAAACTTCACAGCTTTTAGTGCAGTTTTGTGCGTGTTCATCGGTGAGCTGCTTGCAAGGAAGACCATGTGCACAGTCGATGTCTTACCTGTGTAGCCTGCGATCCAGCCCCACGAAGACACCATGGCCAGCAGCCATTTGAACATGACCCCCTCGATGTGCCAGAACGTGGAGCGGTCCCATATTCTGAGCGGCTGGAGCAGCAGCAGGTACAAGCAGTAGGACGGGATGGCCACGCAGTTGTTGAGGAACATGAACACGAACCGGAGCACAGCCGTGAGGAGAACCCAGCCCAGTTTGCCGGCCCCGTCCAAGAGCTGTGCCATCCTGATACACACCGTCTGGAACACAGACACAGCGGCGGTGAGCATCTCGCCTCGGCTTGTTTGACTTCACACAACACGACCTCAGTGTAAACAAACCAACTTGGGGAGGACGCAGATCCGCCGGACAAACCCTAAATGTTGGAGCAATCACCCGGGGGGGTGGAGTGAGTGAGTGTGTGGCTGAGGCTGTTTCACTGAATCCAACACAAACACGCGTGGAGGATGGACGCGATCTTCTGCTCAACATCCAGGAGGTTTAACACGGAGCCGTGGCCGGGTTTGCTCTTCTCTGGTGGCTATTAAGCTAGTTAGCCTAGCTGCACGGGTGATACGCGCAAAGACAGCGCCATAAAAGGACGGAGTCGCACGGGACGTGGTCGAGCACTAGCTAGCGGCGGGCTGAGTTAGCATAACGGGGGCTGATGTTAAAATAAACATGCGAGGTGTGGTGACAACCCCCCGGGCTTTATCAACGCTGACAACCCCCCTGATAGACATGACAGTGGAAGCTAATGAGCTCATGTGCTGGTGTGTGTGTGTGTTTTATGACACGATAACAAATTGACGTCTGGCGCAAAGCTCAGTGTCCTCCAGATTATAGACAGAGCCGGTAATTTAGTTATAAATCCGTTATCTCGTGTTTACTCACCCGCTTAATGTCACTGAAGCATCCAAGGGCGGTCGGGGTGTAGGTAATTGCTGGAGGCAGCGAGATCAAACCGTATCACGTGTGGCTATCCTAAACGGTTCGGTTGGCGGTTTTCGCTAAGTCGACATGGTCCCTCTCCTCTCGATCAAACCCGGGGACAGCGCCGGAAACGTCCGTCGATGTTGCAGCAAACCCCGTACAGCGAGACCGCGGTTGCACCCATTTAGCTAACGTTATCCGGGGCTGCTGGGAGGCGAGCACCGTTAGCTCGCTAGCTAGCTAGCAGGCAGCTCCGCTCGGACGTCGCTGGCTCCATCTCAGTCGGAGACACCGGGATAAATCCACTGATGCATCATCATCACCGTCGTCGTCGTGGTGGTGGAGTTAGCAAAGCTACCGAGCTCCCATTAACGGATACGCGGGAGGGAGGCGGGTCGGGTCGGGCCTCGGATCAACGCTGCTCGTTAAACGGACGCTGCCTCGCGTTTACACCGCGTATGCACATCGGACACACGGGGGGTAGAGGCTGGTCTGTCGGCAGCGGCAGCTTCGTTGTCTCCCTCCAGACCCAGACCCCCAGCGTCCACCGACACAAAAGATCAACAAGGTGACAGCGGAAACCGGTCCGCCATCCCTTCAAAATAAAAGCCGCGTGGAATCGATGACATGGCTCGAAGCTTGAAATGCTCTAAAAGGGATAGTTCACCCAAAAATGAAATTCACTCATTATCTACTCATCACTTTGCCGATGGAGGGTAAAAATATATATAAATTGCATCCATACTGAGGTGGCATCCAAGTGTTCATAAGTGTTTTTAACCTTAAAGTTTCTCTGATATCTATCTATTACCCCTGAAACTCAAAAAGTGTTTTGTGGACTGCAAATTTCTGAAGCTGTCAAATAAATGTAGTGGAGCAGTAGAAGTACAAGTTCCTCAATTTTGTTCTTGAGTGCAGTACCTAAGTAAATGTACTGGACTTATGCAGTTACTTCCCAAAACTGGGTATTTCATGTTAAGATTGTGATATTTTTCAATACTTTATTATCTCTAGCTTTTGTATGTTGGACTTGGTCGAGAAGTAAGAATTATGATAAATCAACCTTCTGAAATAGGTATTGTATTTTAATGAAGCAAACTTGAAAATATTGAATGACATTTAGTCAAGTGATACTCTATGAACCTGAGCCTCCCTTTTATGAGGTTATCCAGTTTGTCCCATTGAAGACAGTAAAAATGTATATAATTAATGTATATCGCTTGGTTGTAGACCATTATTCTTAATTAAGAATTAGTGAGCTTGTTGTGCTGCAAAAATATTGCCGCTAACTACAATAGAATCAGAGTCATACTCAATTATATCCCTAAACCTGTCAGAGCTTTTCTTAATATGGCCAAATATACAATGCGAGGAAGTCATTCTTAATATTACATGCGAGTATAAAATGTATATCCTTGGATTAATGATAGAGAAATTACTTTGTACAGTAGTAAATGTAGCTTTTATTTTGAAAAGCAGGTTTTGGAAGTTTGGTTTTGATCCCCTCTCACTTCACTGAGGTTCACCTGAAGCTTCTCTCTGTGCGCAAACTCCCTGATGTCAAGTGCTCATGGTTTCAGTCTCTATGAACAATAAACTCTTCTTGATATTTTGTGACTCAGTCTCATCACCTCACTTCAAAGCAACTGGAGTCATGTCCGGGTTCAAATCAGATGACATCATCAGCAGTGTGTGTCAGTGTGAGTTAACCATTCAAATCAATGCATTTACTTCACTTTAAATCAGGAACAGCAAAAGTTAGAGTTTGCACCATTATTAAATTATAAAATGTGGGATGATGGGGAGCCTCTGTGCAATAACTGTTTTTGAAATTTAAGATATAAGATCACAGGTCAGCAGCACAATGATGTAAAATGTAAAATTGTAAATGTGTCTCGTGAAAATAGACTAAATTCCAACTATTTCACATCGAGAACCAGAAAGTGTAGAATTGACATCAGAGATTTTAGTGCTTCAGACAAAGGTGTTCACTCAATGACTGTGGTCTGCCTCCCTTTGGCCCTTTATGTTATTACACTTTACGGAGAAATGAAGACAGTAAATCCAAGGACATCCATTGCTTAATTGTCCTGTAGATCACCGAATGCATGAAATGTGATTGGATTAAAAAATACAGCGAGGGAAATAAAAGCAACTTAGCATTTTATGGTGGCTGATTTACACCTTCAGAGGCCAAGGACAACATAATGTGTGGACTTGTCCAAATGACTGCATTATTGTGCCCTTTACACATTTTAAAAGGATTACACACAATAACCAGAAGTAAAGTTCACTCTGGTCTTTTAATTAATCAAAAAATATTTACATATGCAGTTTCTGTGAAACACTAAATCTGTTTGACAGTAAAAAAAAGCATCAAGGACACGTTCACTAGAAGCGGGAGTACGCTGCCCTCTGAGGAGCAGGCTGAGCTGCACTCTGCTGCAGCTGGTGGCGGAGCTGCTGGGAGTAAGGATCCTCCAGGGATTTAACCGACACGGTTGTCTTGGGCCCAGTCTTCCATTCGGTGCCACTCTCGTCCACCACGGACGCCTCCACGGTGACGGTGTGGGTGCCCAGGATGGAGAAATTCAGCAAGAACTGGGTGCTGAAGTAGTCATTGTGCGGCTCTACCCGCTGCTCAATCTCATTAGTTTTAGTGTCAAGTGGGATCTGAAAGGTACAAAATGCATGAATACCAAGGGAACCTAAGCAACAACACAGCCATGATTCACCAAAAATTAAAAAACGACTTAAGTAGCTTGATGTGTGGATACATACATCTGTGTTTATAGTGATTCTATGCGCTTAGAATATCAGATGTGAGCATTTTTCAATGTTTTATAAGGTTTCCTTAAAAAACTAAAACAAATACAAAAGCAAAAAGCTGGTATGCACCTTGAAGTCCGGCCCTGTCTTGCTCTGGAGAACTGAAGTGACATTGAGACAGACAGACTGGATCTTTCTGAAGAGTCCTGGAGTGGAACCATGTTGCACTACGCCCTCCACTTTAAGAGTCAGCTGCTGGTTGTTCTGCACTGGGATCGGTTCACTCTGTGTTCGAGGGGATGGAGAGAGAGCAAGCTGAAAAAAACAAAAACACACCCAGAGTTAATCATAAGAGGGCTACAACTGTACTACAAGTCTGCTTGATCACAGCCATTTAAAAGGGGATATTATATCCTGCATAGACAGCATGTATCGTCGTGTTTTGTGTCCTTGCATATCAACTTATCCTGAGGATTTATAAATTAAACTAAACCTAAGATTCTTTTATAAAGTCTGATGTTTTCATTGCTGATTGTCTGTCGGTCTGAAGGATTATGCAGAAACTACTGAACCACTTTACTTGACACTTGGTGGAAGGATGGATATGGGCCAAGGAAGAACCCATTTTATTTTGGCACAGATTCGGACAAAGACGCAGCCTCGGGGATGATTTCTGAGAGAATAATTAATCGATCTTGATGAAAAAAAATCAAGTGTATTCAAGGGGCTGATGTATACGAGTGTGGGCAATCTGGTGCAACTTGATTATATCTAAAGGGGAATGTCTGGCTTTGGCAGAGTTGTGTGCTCTACTGAGTGATGGTTAGCCATTACCGTACCTTAATGCTTGTTGACTGCAGCTTTTGGAAGAAGTACCTCTGGAAGGACAGCGGGACCTTGAGCAGAGCTATGACAGCATCACAGAGACAACTGGTGTGCTGGAAAACAAAAACAATACTTTTACATTTGTCACATTATAAAGCAGTTTATTGCAGCTTATTTCCATTTTTTTTTTATTTCTTAATTTAACCAGGTCTCACTGAAACAAAACAAATTCAAAGGGAGAGCATTACAATATTGTTACAGTAAGTCAAGTTAAAATATTAACAGCCCAAGGTAACAGACACATGCTTTAAAAAAGTAAATTGACACAGCTACATACATATTTATGTACAGAAAAGTTTCTAAAATGACAAATACACCATTAGTCAACAGACTATTTATTACAAACTAAAGACAACACACATCTGCAGACCTTGCAGCCAAACTGAGCACACAAATTACTAAGCATATGCAAACACGGTGATCACTGGGTGTTACCAGGTATGAAACTGGAGGGTGTTTCTTTGTGAGGCCCTCCACCTCCTCCAGCACGTGGTTGAACACTGACATCATCCGTCGCTCGTATTCACTCTCTGTCTGAACTGACCCCGGGGTGCCATACTCCTGAAAACTAGATAACAGGGGCAGAGAGAGAGAGAGATGATCTTCAGGGGATGTGTGTTACAGCAAAGCACTTCTAGCACAAAGTATTCACATCCAATGGCACAGTGAAAACACTAAAATAGCCCTCAGTAGAGAGCACACCTCTGCCAAGGCCGAAAAATCCTACAAGTGATTGTCTAGTTCTAAAAGTAGAAATATAAAAGAAAAGAGGGAAGTGGTTTGATGCAGTAAAATAAAGTGAAACCCTTTTACACAAGGAAATGATAGAGGCAGAAGTTCTCTCTATAGCAGTTTCCCCTGAAATTACTAAGTAATAGAATGAATCGTAGCTAAATTTAATTTCTTTCCTACAGCATTATACAAATCCCAATGCTCAATTTTCCCAGCAACACTCACCTGGCTGCCTGTGGGTCCAGAATCAAAGCTTCTATCACATGTGAAACAAGCAAACAGCTCTGTTGTTGTCTGAACGGAAGGTTAAAGAGAAACAAATGACAGCAGAGTAAATGGGTCAACAACTCAACGTGACAGTAGTGCGGTCGAGGCACGTTTGAGGATACAGCTCCACATTACGGAGGGTGGCGTAGTCTGCATCAAACGAGGACTGGTGCAAGTCAGCATAGCGCGCTGCAAGACTTCTGAACTCGTCCATGCACACTTTCATCTGAAGACAAAACAAAATAAGTTGAAGAGTTCTAGACGGGACTGATCTTTCAATTCACACCTGCCTACTTCTGCTAGATTTTCCTGAATGCAAACCGACATGGCTGCCAAACTTAGACATATCAAACATTTATTACAAATATTAACATGTGGACCTAATTTCCCAGACCTTTTTTTCGAGTTGATGTCTGAAAGCTGCATGGATCAGACTTTTACATTTTACCTGCAGTGAGATGCGGCCGCAGCGCTGCAGGTCGTTGCCTGAGGTGAGAGCGATGGTGGTGGCGATGGCCGGCGGTGGGCTGGTTTTCAGGCTGTTGCAAGTACAGATGAGCTGCGACAGGGCTTGCAGAGTGTCAATCCGCAGCTTAATGAACTCACACTGGAATGTAAGCGGGCTCAGAGGAGTGCTGGCAGCCTGGCGGGAGAGACTAATTAGATAAACGTACATGGACACCACAGTTAAATAGTCACACAGGTCTTTTTGAGTTGACCTAACAAGATAAAGTCAGGCACTAGGTTAGAGTTGATTCATTAACAGTTTGTGATGCGAAGAAATTAGCTTGGATAGCAGCAGTCTCCAGACTGACTATCTGCTGCTCTAGATATCATGACTTTAGTTAAGGTGGATCTGCAGGAATGTTTTTGACAAGCAGATGTCTGGTAGTGAACTGACTGTGAGGGAGGCGATGCCCTTTTGGTAGGAGCGCAGGGCCTCGGCGATGGCACTCATGGCTCCGCTGTAGTCGCCGTCCTCCACGTGACACAGGCACTGCTCGGCCTGCGAAAACTCCTTCAGGCTGTTCAGCCAAAAGTAGAAGTGCTCTGATGCCACACGGGTCCGCAGACTCTGGTACAGCTCGCTGGAGAACTCATGGCAGCCCTGCGGATTAGCGATATGAATTTTATAATCCTGTCTCAGGGGGTGGGTGGCTCCTTGTGACTCCATTTTTATTTCAAAAAGAAAACAAAGAAAGATTTGTTAACCATGCGTGAAGCTTGGCGTGCGATGCGGTACACCGTCCAGCCATTAGCCACATTCTCCAGCTGTTGTTTGATCACGGTCTTCACGTCAGCTGATAAAGACGACTGGCTAGCGACAAAAATCACGGTTGCCAAGGAAACCTGCAGCAATCACAGTGAGTGGGACAAGTGTTCAAGTCCAAAACTGGAGATATTACAAAGGCGATGACACAATAATTTAATGATAAAAAAATAAAACAGAGGTGAATGTAATGTCAACTGAGTAATTTGTGTGACTCAATCTCTCACCAGAAGCTCTTGCTGCTTGTCGGTCGAGGAGTGACTGGCAACTCTGTACAGGTCCACCAGATCTCCCAGCATGCCGTCGCCCAGCACCGGCAGGTGGGTGGCGATGGCTGCCAGAGCGTGGCACATGAGAACACGGGAGGAGTCGCAGGATAAATGGAGCTGACCAAGCAGAAACTCCACAGCTGACTGGCTGAGATGGGGTCGACTTTTCAGCATCTTGACCAATGAGGTGAGGGTTGTCTAGGGTCAACACAAAAAGGTTTCTAATTTTTTGTCCTAACACGCCCGAGTCGTCTGGTCACGTTGGGTACAGGTCAGTTATCCACACACATTGAATTATGTAATAAGAAAAAGAATAAATAAGGTTTTTCAAAAATCTGCCCAGATATTTCATGTCAAATTATCAAACTTTGCTATTTGACTTGCTGTACTCATGTGCTATGCTTTAACAAAATTTGATCTAGCATCTAGTCTAATTTTTGATGTGTTAATTCAATTCAAATTCAAAAGACTTAATTGTCATTGCAAGGTCGTACTTTGTGCTAGTAAAATTGTGGCACAGTCCTCCTGCTTGATGCCAAATTCAACCTACATTCTGTTTATGATGTCTTACTTTGAGCGTGGCCTGGGTCCCGGGGCTGCTGTCCTGACTGCACAGCATCAGAAGAGACTCCGCTCCCAAAACTGTGTCCTGCTCCAACTGTACTATGTCTTAGAGAGAGAGATACACAGAAGCAGTCAATCACAAGAGCAATCATCCATGTGGTGAATCATTTGCATTTGCAACACCAGGCATCGGACTAATCCTAAACCATCACTTGTTGTAACTAACCTTTCTCTGGGCAGGAAATGGCGATGTTGGAAAGCACTATGATTCCGTGAGCAGCCACTGCCAGGTTGCTGTGGTAACAGCATTCTTGCGCCAGTTTAACCAGGTCAGTGAGCGATGGGGGAACCGAAGAGCTACCTGAGTGTGTGAAAGGAAAACACATCAGTCCAGTGATGCTCTTTTTCTGTAATTAATATAACAACATATATGACATATAAGGCTTTGTTAAAATATGAAGATGGACAACATGATGGATCCCAAATACAAAGTCAATTGACGTCAAAACAACAGGAGGGCCTGACCCGTATCCAAGATATCTTAGCTTAATTTTTGTAAACGGGAGGAAGTGGAGACATGTCATCATCTTTATATACAGTCTAGGGTTAAATTGAACAGCACCTGTAATGTTACTGAAGTACTGCTTGATTGCGATCGTTTCAGAGAGGGTGGAGAGAACAGCCAACATTCCCAGCTTCAAGCTGTCGTAAGGGCTCGTCAGGGCGCACTCACACAGAGTCTAGAGGTGTAAACACATTTATTAAACACTGGCTTCAAACCATCATGAAGTTAAGTCTGCTGTGCACTTTTAACAGCTGAACATCTACCTGTGTGTTTTCTCTGATCCAAAGATGAGGAGCCTTTTTAGCCAAGAGCTTTAGATCGCTGATTGCAAGTCTCTTCACAGCTTTTCTTGGGTCATCTTTCAGGTACTGGAGGAGGAGCTGTAACTGTGTGGAATCAAAAAAGAAGTCACTCTTCCACAGTGATAAAGATTTTAAATAAATCAGGACAAAATATTATCACGGGTTCAGTAAATAACTGACCACAGTGTGGTTGCGCTTCTCTCCTGGTCAGTACCTGCTTAGGGATGTCAATGAGGGAGAAGGCAGCCAGCTGGGTGAAGGTGTGCAAGGTGACGATGACCATGGCGGTGGAGGGATAGGAGTTGACAAGGTGCTGTAGGAGCTCTCTGCTGCTGGACGCCAGGCTGGCATCATGGTGCATGTGCTGCAGCATTGGAATCAACTTCAGCTTCAGTTCCACTGGAGTGTCCAAACCTGGGGTGAAGGTTCAGATCGAAGAGGAAATGAAACAGCTGGAAAAGACGACGTGAACATAACAACAACTTTCTACTGTCGTCTGTTTTAAAGTATTTTATTGTAATGCTGGATAGTTGCTTGGAATATCTAAATAAATCCAAAGCTTGTAAAAAAGGTGAGTTTGACTTGAAGTGTTTTCCCCAAAAGATTTTTTTTTTACCTTGAATCATCTCACTGACTTTGTTGCAAATCCCAGCTGCAAAGTCTCTGAAAATTAGAAACAGCGTTAAAAAACTTCAAATTCATGAGATCCAGTTTGTCAAATACAGTTCAGCTCAGGTTATGACTCTCCTTACTTTGACTGTGCAGAGAAGCTTGCAGCAGCAAATATGGCGGCCTCTACTTCTACATTGTCATGAGAGTCCAGACTTTGGCGAATACTGTGGTGGGCGTTCTTCCTCTCTGGGATGATGGAGGCCAAACTACCAAGCATCCTAAACGAAAGGAGAAAAGGAACATTGTTTTGAATCTCAGACAACTGGAAAGAGAGAGGGGAGTTGGCAAACATGTTACCACACATGTATTCTAGGATTGTAAAGTGGTAAAAGCTCTGTGAAAGAAGGGTTAGAATACTGTCATTACCTCAGCGTGATGGCTCGGGCCACAGGGTCATTGCTGTGGATGACGGAAAACACTCTTTTAACAAATTCGTCCACGTTGAGAATCTTCTCCAAGTGTTTCTCGCTCTGCTGAGTCACTTTCAACACACACAGGCGCAGAAAGTTGTTCCTGAAATCAGAGATCAGACCGCAAACCATTATTTAGTGTTAACTAACTAATTATAAAAAATCTGAGCCCGACTGATAAATAAGATACTATCAGCCGGTGTGAGCCTCTCACAAACATATCTGTATGTGTTTATGATTGCCAATATATATATATATGTTACAGAATAAACAGAAACAATGTGCATTGTATTGTTATTATATGATTATCTATTATACAGGTTTGAGCAGCACTGTAAAATTCATTTTGAAAGCTTTGCCAAAATAAAAGAAATAAAGGATGATAAACAAACAATAATAATATTGAGAGTGACTGACAGGTAAAAGAAGGAGAAGAATATTTACAACAATATCACAACACAAAGGCAACAAATACACGAATGTCTGGAACTCATTCAAAAGCAAATTGAATGCTGATTTGAGTTTCAACTCATAACAAACTTGAGTGAAGAAGTAATGAACACCTCTCTCATTGATTCGGTTCATACCCGAGTCTGAAGATGTCTGCCAGCTTGAGGAAGGCGGAGTTGATGAGGATGGGGAACGGATACTTCTGGAAGAGTTTGGGGAAGAGGACCACGGCCTCGCACTGCTCCCCCAGCTTCCCTGAGCGCAGACCTGGGGCAGAAACAGAGATGTCACCGGGACAATACACAACAAAAACACCAGACGCCTCTCGTGGAGGAGACACAACACACATGCTAACCAGTTAGCATGCAGGCTAACTACCTTTGTCCAGCTCCATGAGAGCGGAGTTAGCGTCCAGCTCCTGTTCTCCATAACAGGCCTCGGATAGAAACGAGCGAGCGGTGGAAAGCGACATTATTACTGAAGTTTTTCACATTTAAATCCAAGTATGGCTGCGTCCATTGAGCTCAGTGTTCAGCAGAGACGCAACTTCACGCTGCCTGCAGCTTTTACACTTCCGGTCCAGGGTTGATCTTCACAATAAAGGCAATTTCTTTTAACTCAAATTACAAATATAGGCATTGTGCAATGATACTTGAATATCTATAGTCATGCCTATCAATGCTCATTTGCACCTTTTTAATTTGCACTGATTTTTTATATCCTTGTTCAGTTTGAGATTATATTGTTTGTGTATTATTTGCATATATATTATCTTGAATCTACAACATGCTTTACAGGACCAGATGAAATATGAAGTCATAATTAAAAAAGAATGACACAGATAAAAGGAGAAAAGTAAAACCAACATAAGTAAATATATATTTACAGTTGGGTATGTCACTGGGATTATGATAAAATCATCGGGATGCTATTTTATTTCGAAAGAGCCTCTGCTTTGTCAATTATTATGTTGAACTTTAAAAAGCAGCGGCTACAGAGGAAGCGGATGTGCACGCGCCGTTGCAGCGGAAGTGGCCTTTTCCACCAATGGCAGAGAGCGACGCCGGTTTCGCGGGGGATTCATCTCTGCGTCCACACGATCTGTTCGCGGGAAACACGACAAGGAGCAACAAGGCGGAATAAAGACGTCGGATAACTCCTCGAAACTTGAACCTGTAACTTCTGATCGACCGCTCGTGCAGCGCAGCGATGCTTTTCCGCTCGATCGTTGACAGAGGAGTGGGCAGACGAAGGCAGAACGGTGAGATTAGAAGTTTTACTGTGTGTTACTGAGAGTTTTACTCCGCCAGAGCCACTGTTAGCTCACATGTAGATCTGTCGGTTCTATCATCGCGTGTGTTTTTCTCACGCACTTTAGATTCTCGTGTTAAACTGTTGAGGAGTGAACTGTACACAAGACACAAACGTTTTTACTCCATGTCCCGAATAAACCATATATCTTAAGCGATGATCATGTAATTCAGTTTGTTAATATTAGTCTTTGAATCAGCTGTGAAACCTCACATAGTTTCTGCTTCAGTAGGTTGAGGCGTGTCGTGACGATAGAACTAACTGCCTGTTTGTTGTATTATCTCTGTAATGCGTCTGACGGACTGCTTGTTTCTGTCCAGCCGCCCCTGCAGATCCTTGGCCCAGGCTCCCTCTGAGCTCTCTGCTTCAGGGCTTCCAGTGCGTTCGACATGACGAACACATCTCCTATGGAAACCTGGGGGACTCCGTGCCACCGTTTGGATTAGCTTTCTCCTCCGGTAACCCACATGCATTTTCCCATAGGATGGGACAGATCAGATTTTTTGGCTGTTGTCATTTAACTTGCTCTTCTTATGTTGGTTAAGCTGGGGATATGCAGAACGTCCTCGCTGCAGCCAACGAAGAAGGCATTGTGAGGATCTACAACACGGAGAGCAGAGAAAACACGCTTCTCAAAGGTACGTGTAGAGACTTGTTTGTCCACAGTTGTCCCGTCTGTCATCAGGGAATGTCCCAGGCTGATGGAATGTGAACTTTTGCAGAATGGCTGGCTCATGAGAATGCTGTCTTTGACATTGCCTGGGTACCGGGGGAGCCTCAGTTGGTGAGTGTGAAAATAAATCAGGGTAAACCAGGGACACATTTAACACTTGTTTATTCATATGCTGTTGTATTATTTTCTGTATTTCTTTTTGCACGTTGTAAACTCTTCACGCGTCCTCCTCAGGTGACGGCTGCTGGTGATCAAATGGCTCGGCTGTGGGACGTGAAGACAGGAGACATGTTGGGCAGCTTTAAGGGTCACCTCTGCAGCCTCAAGTCTGTTGCATTCACACCTCAGGAGAAAGGTACATCATTCATCATTCATTTAAACAGATACATCACCTGGGGGAATAAATGCTCCCTGTCATCTCTTAGAATTCACAGGAAAACACGGATCTGATTGTTTCTAGGTGACATAGTCCAGTATATTGAATCTAGATATAGGAGCTATGGTAACCTGGTAATTATTGGAATTATAAGATATACGTTCCCCTGCTGTTGTTGCACCAAGTAATAAAGAAAACATGCAGAAATGTAGATTCAATTAGGTTTTGTTTTAAAATAGAAGGAAATAGTATTCACTGATGAAAAGGTACTTGAGTGAGAGTTTTCATTTAAATTTCATATTCATCACAGTAATGTTATTTTGTTTGTTCTCTATTCAACAGCTGTGTTCTGCACTGGAGCCAGAGATGGAAATATTATGGTCTGGGACACAAGGTGCAGCAAAAAAGGTATTGATTAATCTGATTTCTGCTTCAAAGATGTCCTTTTAATATTCAAAGATTTGTATATTTTGCCCCACCTGATCTTGTAATAATAGATTTCAGACAGTGCTCAGTATTTTGTATTTGATCATATCCTCCTCTCAGATGGTTTCTACAGACAAGTGAAACAGATCAGTGGCGCTCACAACAAAGCAGAGACAAGCGCCCCCTTGAAGACGAAGAAGAGAAGGAGCAGCACTCGTGGCATGGCTCCCAGTGTGGTGAGTTCTTCTCATAACTGACCCTGTTTATAGTGAAAAAGTGAAATAGAGAGCAGGAAGGTGCAATGGCAACACTGACCTTCAATATATTTATATTTTTCGTAGGACACGCAGCAGAGTGTCACAGTGGTTTTGTTTCGAGATCAGCACACGCTCATCTCCTCTGGGGCCGTCGATGGGTAAGAAACCACTTTTAATTTTTATAAACACGCAGAACATTAGCGTGAAATTTTTTTTTGTCATGTTGAATTTTTTTGTTTAATTCCACCCATCCAGAGTGATCAAGCAATGGGATCTGAGAAAAAACTACACTGCACACCGTCAGGATCCAGTTCCACTGCAGACGTACCCGTACCCGGGTTCCTGCATGCGCATGCGGCTTGGTTAGTTTTCTGCCACTCTGGATATCATGTATACATGGAGCTGGATGAAGTAAAAAAAAAAATAAGCTGAATATTGTTTGGTGTGTGTTGCAGGTTATTCCGGACTTGTTCTGGACTCCACAAGATCCAGTGTGATGTGTAACTGCACTGATGACAATATCTACATGTTCAATGTCAGTGGAATAAAGACAAATCCAGGTAAACAAGGGCTTCAGTCATACGCAATATAATGTTCAACTCTGCCAAAATAGGTCTTTTCCTGTTTATCACTTACATGTTACCACTAGATGGGGCTGCAAGTATAAAGTCCTTTGGTTTAACTAGAGCAGAATCTCTTTGTTACAGATGAAATGTCAAGATTCAGAGACATGGTGTGATAATCATAATATCTTTTAAATTAGAGTTGTGTTTGTGTTAAAGATGAGAGTAGGAGGTAGCTCACTAGTACTGAATCTGCTGGATAACATTCAAACCATCCAGACTAGTCGGCCATCTTGAGGCAAAACACAGCTGTTTTAGATCAGTTTACCCAATTTACCCTCATCTTGTCTATGCCTCTAATCTGATTTTAACCTTTGGGTTTACCGCAGGATCTTAAGTCCAAAATTCAATGATCTGAATTTTAGGCCTCAAATACATTCAACAGAACTTGTTGAGAACTGCAGATGGTGTTTATATATGATGTATTATAAAGTGTACTTGGGTATTTAGAAATGCCATGATGAAATAAAATGTATTATATAATAATAATAATAATAATAATATATTTGTTTCTTCTTCTACAGTTGCTGTTTTCAGTGGCCACCAGAATTCCTCATTTTATATCAAGTCCACTATCAGCCCAGACGACCAGTTCTTGGCCAGTGGCTCAAGTGACAATCACACATACATCTGGAAGGTAAGGTCGTCCTCATTTCATTTTACCCTGATGATGTGTTCAGTGTTCTGATGACATGTGTTTGTCAACTTTTTATATCTTAGATTTCTGAGCCACAACATCCTCCCATGACTCTTCAAGGCCACAGTGAGGAAGTGACGTCAGTCGTGTGGTGTCCCACAGATTTCACCAAGGTAGGGCAGCAAACTCCAATAACCACTGTCACGACCACATTAGTGTCCTGAACTCCATCCTGTTTCCATTGTGTAAAACCTACAAATGAGTTTTTTATGAGGCCAGGAAAATGGATTTGGTCTCTGTGTAATCCTCACTGCTCTGTTGGCAGATTGCTTCCTGTTCGGATGACCACACCGTCCGGATCTGGAGGCTTCACCGGGAAACGGATGCTGTTCAGTCTTCAGTGGGAGAAGCAAACCTTGTGGGGCGGGCTTGTCCAAAATCTCCAACAAGTTAGTATTTCAATGACCATCCTTCAGTCTAACGACTGACAACTACCATGTAATCATATGTACTGCATGTTGTCTTTATCTTGACCACAACATTTCTGGTTTCATTCCTTCTCTGTGCTGCTGTCTGACTATGTGAAATATGGAAGAGCTTCTTCATAAATCTCTCTGCTTTCATGGAGTCACACTAGACTAAAAAGGACTTTTCTTCCTTTAAGGGCCGTCAGTCAGAGCTGAGACGACTCCCGCCAAAACCCAGAGGATAGAGAGTCGTCCAGACCTAGTGTCGCCCCGGCTCGCTGCCTGTGCTCCGAGTGGAGCCGCCCTGCCTCTGTCCTCCAGCACCACTTCACCTGTCCAGTCTCAGGATGCAAAGGCTGCTGCTGCCCGCCAGAGAACGCCACCCTCTATCAAACAGTGGTTATCTCCGAGCCGCGGGTCTCCCGGTCAGGTCACCCCTCCTCTTCGCAAGGTCCTGAGCCCGTGTCCCCAGAGTCCGACGAGCAGTGCCTCTCCCATCGAACGACGGGCCAAGCGGCGGCTGGAGACCATTGCGTCTGCCAGCTGTGAGGGCGCAGAACAATGCGACTGTGTTGCCGAACTTTACCCCGCACCCAAGAGAGGCCGGACCCTGGCTGGTATCTGCTGCCCCGCTCAGGAGAGCAGGGTACAAACAGACTGTCACACAGACGACAAGCAAACCTCATCTAGACAGAGTGGCAAAGAGAATTACTCTCCCAGAGGAATGGACTGGCTGTCTGTGATGGCACAAAAGATGAGGAAAGGTCAAGGAAGCCCAAGTTCTCCCAGAAGTCCCAGTGCCTTGAAGAAACAGGAAGGGAAAACACCAGCTTCACCGGTAAATACCAAACTCCAATTTAGACGTGAATCTTCTTTTAACATGTACATTTTCTCAGTTTCTTAAGTAATTCTCTCTCCCTTAAATAAAGCTTCCCTCTAGAGCATTCGTTTTTTTTCTTGTCTGCATTAACATTTCTGTCACAAACTTTCTTCCGTCTAGAAATTCAGGCTTTAAAGTCACTGAATAAGAACTAGACTCACACTCAGTCGAGCACATACATGTACCTCCTCCAAGGCTCAAACAGTCGTCTTATTTTCAATCAAGCCGCAGCAAATCAGTCCCCTAAATCAAGATCTAATTATATTATATAATAACAGACGTAATAATAAGTCCATTATAACAGAAAGACACAGGCTTTATGAATGTGTCCTCTGCAGCAATGGTATATTTTAAATAGCTTTAAAAGTGATCATTGCAGTTAAAGTTTTCTCTCTATTCTTTTTCAGACGATTCGATCGCCGCAAAACATGAAGAAAATCTCCATGTACTTCACGAAACCGACTCTGGAGTGACCTGCTGGAGCCAATCACGTGTTCTGTTCTTCTGTTTAAATACAATGTTTTTATTTTTGAGTAAATCTTTTATACGTGATGTCCCACAGACAGTAAAGCCTCTGAGACCACATGAGTTACATTACTACATGAACCAGAAAGAAACTGAAGATTTGATGCAGCAGTTTTCACATCCACAGAGGTAGTTTTTTTTTTTTTTTTTTTTTTTTAATTTGGGTCGTAGGTATTTGCATTTGCTTCCTACGCGGATGTTCTGGTGCTGTGCTGAGAGACTTTATTAGAAATCAGGTTGCATTTCCAAGTAAATCTTTCACTTTACTCAAACCTGAAAACTGTTAGAGACGATGCACCATTTAATGCAGGACCCCACGTTTCATCAAGTTGTTCAGGAGGTTAACAAGGTATTAATCTTCAAGTAGACAGTTGTCCACAGGTGTAGATATTTTAAAGTCTGCTAAAAAAGTACAATAAATTAGCTTGACAGCTTTGAGCCCTTTTATGAACTTCACTCATTTAAAGTGTAAGATGGTCACAGATCAGCTCTGTAACAGCTTGTCATTTATATCTTCATCTCTGGATTTTGTCATTTCAGTGTTATGCATAAAATAATCTGATGATTCAGATTTTCTTTTTTACTTGAGAAAATGTTCAAGTTGTTTATATGTACAAAATAACCAATGATTGTTGCATGGTCCGTTTGTATTTAATTAACATAAACTTGTGGTCTGAACTTTATTAAACTGAAGTCAGGTTTCATGGTATTTCTTTTATTTGAACACTTTGACCCATAGAGTCAAAATTATTCAGGATTTCCAAAAGAAGACGTCATATGAAGAAAATCTGCAGTTGAATTGAAATTCCTCTGATTTTCTGTCCTGTCAAGCAGCTCACAACCTCTGACTTAAAATTGTATCTGATATTGACTGGCTGATTGGGGGACGAAGCTGGGTTTGCTTAGCTGCAGGATAACATCCTGGAGAGGAGCCAGCCCTCCCTGTGAGCCACCAGGGGGCCCCCAAAATCAAACCTCAATCACTGAATTAGCCTTTGCTACTGCTCTTTTATTTATGTGGCGAAAAGTGAATATAATCAAATTTGTTTGATACAAAACTGGCAACAATCAGAAACTTACATAAGTAATGCAGCCTGTAGTTGTGAGGCCCCTCCCTCAGTGAGTGAAGATCTTGCAGGATGAACTGTGAAAATGATAATGTCAATAAATGTAATGTTTACCAGAGGCAGAAAAAGAGAGGAACGTGGGTGAAAATGGACGATAACAAGGGTTTCACATGAATAAGAATACAGGAGTGCCTCGTGAACTCTGCCCTTTGGTTTGCCTTAAGGCAGGAAAGGTTTGAAAAAGATAAGACTTTCAAATAAAAGCCTTGAAATGGATCAGGGTTATAACTGCATACAATAGCTGGCTCTATGACTGTTTCACACTGAAGGGCAGGGCCCCTGGAAGCAGGAGTCCGGCCCTGCTGGAGAGTCACTGCTCTCACATGAGATGTACTGACAGATACTACGTCCTTGTACTAAAACACACTCAAACGCTGCAGATTGTGAAGTACTTGTTACTGCAGTAACTTTCTCCTCTGCTCCAGCTGCCATTCCTCAACGTCACGCATTTGTTTTCACGCGTCACGTGTTCAGGACCCCGCCCCCGCTCTCCCTCTGCCTCCCCTCGATTGGCCGAAAAAGTTTCCAGCTCCTAATTCCCGGCGCGTGATTGGCCCGCTGCAGCTGTCAGTCAGTGACGCGGGCCTGTCAGTGCTCCTGCAGCGCTCAGTGGTGTTCGGGGCAGACGGCGGCGCTGGAGGTGTTTAATGGCTGAACTCTCGGCTCCACGGCTGCTAACGTGTCTTATTCGACAATAACCGTTGGTTTTCGAGAGGCTGCGGGACCAGCGGCGGCTGTAGCGGAGCGAGGAGACCCGCGTGTGGCCGCGGCTAAGTTGCTAACTTTTTAATGCTAAATGAAGCTAAGCCGTTGAGCGAGATTGAACTTCATCGATCCCCTGAAAACACCCAGCGGAAGTCTGACACGGATTAAACCCCGCGGCGTGAAGACCTTTTTCTTTTTACCAAGAATTTCCTGAATTCCCTGGGACTATTTTTCTCTCGTAACTTCGCCCCCTTTCTCTCGACAGCGAACTGTTGTCGTAGTGGCGTACATTAGCATTAGCTCGTTTTAGCTAGGTGCTAGCTCGCAGCCTTAGCGGCACGATACTTTGCATTTTGCCTCCCTGCTAATTCCGATAACTTTTTCACGACAATGTCTTTCGTGTGTTTCGCAACGGGCGGACAATTTGTCAACAAGATGCAGCGCCGAGGAACATCCGTCATTTAAAGTGCGGTGGTAATTGTGTCGTTCGCACCGAGGGCAATGCCAGGAGTTGTTTGTCGTCTTCATTCGTGTTTTGAGGATCGTCCCCGTGCTTCAGAAGACTAGTTACCCCCAGATGATGCAGCTTCAGGAGGCAGTCTAACGCCCTTAAACCGAGCTAACATGCACAATATCGTGCACAATAACTTGGAATAGGAGGCGAGCTTCAAGTCGTGCAGTTTTGCTCCACATTTTCTTTTTGTGTGTGCGCGTGCTGATGTGAACGAAGAGGAAACCCTCTCCAGTTTGACCCAGGGGATACAATAGCTCATCTGAAGCAGCTCGTCGGTTGCATGCGTCAAAATGTCGGCCATCTCTGCATCCGAGAAGGTGGATGGGTTCACGCGAAAGTCCATGAGGAAGGCCCAGAAGCAGAGGAAGTCCCAGGGCTCGTCTCAGTACCGCACCCAGAGCGTCCCGGTCGAGCTCTCCCCGCTGCCACAGCTGAAAGGTACGGTCACAGGATGAGGGGGGGGTCTGCAGCTTAATTCAGACTGTCTGTCATTACGTGTGTGTGTTCCGCTAGATCATCAACAATTATGTTCAACACGTGCAAGCAATTTGTGCAAATGGTGTACGCATTTTTACACACACACACACACACACACACGCACACTATTGTGCACAAGTCAGCCACTGATTCCAAAGAGTTGTGGACACACCTTGAAACATTTCCCTCCTCGGTTTGTTGCTTCTTTTCCTCTGCACAAACAGGAAGAATTCAAGGTCTTTGCAATGAAAGACACGACTATGTGCAAAAGTAGATCACATTAGTTTTGCATTCATTTTAAGTTTGACATGTAGAGGCACATCCACACAGAGATGTGGAAGAATGGATTAACAGAGTGTCTCTAAATCCCTCTTAACCCAATCAGACTGAGACCATTTTCCTATTAAGATAAATGGGTGGAAATGGACAGACTATTGGACCCCACTATCTCCAGGCTTGATTAAAAAAATGTCTCCACGGAGAAGTGTCTAGAGTCACAATGTGTACAACACAACACTACTCCTGTGACTGCTCATATTGTTGCTTGTGTGTTTATGCTGGTAAAGAGGCTGTTGAAAGTGAAGACAACCTTGAGCAAGTGGAGGAAAGTCTTGGTAAGCTTTTCTCTGCGGCGGGACAAGTTTATATGGTGTGATGTTGCAAACCTTTTCCAGTGCTAACATGCTGAAGTAGAACTCGAGTTCTGTGCCAGAGGCAGAATCACTAGAACATCTCATGAAGGACTAATAAAGCTAGCTTAACTCATTCCTATTCATTCCCATTCACTAAGTCTAGCAAGTATAAGAATGTAAACTTGGAGTTTGCTGGTCACAAGCTGCTTGACCCAAGGCCTGATGCTGAAGTTTACTCACAATACCACAGTGGTATACCACAGTATTTTATAAAACCTAAAAGTACCTGGTAAGATGTATTGCAATGCTGCAACTGAGAAAAAATAGAGCTATTAATTAAATACAAGGACTTTTGGTTTTGATAGTTTTGGCAATCACATGACCGTTCTTATCATGTCACTCGCACTAGTAAGTAGTAAGCCTTAGCACGTCGCATCAAGTGAAACATGACACCATGTGGGATAATATGGGCGGCCAGTATTAAACTTTGGAAAGTCTGTTGTTAGTTGATGCAGTATTCTGTTGTAGGTGGGCACAGGCATGTGGGGTGGAGGTAGGGTTAAGTAAGGCATGTGACATTATCAAGGTGGCTGTTCTCTACCTGTCAAGTGCAGTGCTGTTCTGTCTAAAAGGGGAAATGCCTCAGTTATTACCGGCCATGACAGCGGGGAGGGTATTGTTCTCCCCACGTGACAGTGTGGTGGGTTATCATTGCAAAATAACAGAATATGATTCTGGAGGCACCAACATATTGGTTTTGAGTAATGTTGTTTATGCGAGTTTATGCCACGATATCGTCTTAATCCGACAAGAACCTGCAAGGATCATGAGTTTCAAAATGGGTGTGGTCCGAGCAAGGGCGCTACAAGTTTGGGGAATTGGAAAAAAGAAGGGGCACATGTGTTTCATGAAACAATCTAATCCTCCCCATATATTTCACTGTCTCTTTTTTAACACTGCAAATCTTAGCACTCATCTAACTGTAGCCTGTGGTTAAATGGGACACTGCTGAGCCTCCTTAGAACTGTGTGTATTTAAGTTCCATTCAAAACAATTCGTGCCTTTCCAGTGTGTACTTAAACATGTTTTAACAAGTTATTTTACTGATGTGCAGTAAACAACTTGCATTGTTTAAGTTAAGCTAGCTTAATACAGAGGAATGGAAGTATTGGATAGGAGTTTTGGTTTATTTTGTCGACTAATCTGCAGTTTATCAGACACTAAGCAACTTCGAACACTAATACAGTTAAACACTACTTTGTCCTTTTTTAAAATAAGTGAATGGCATTATTTAATTTAATGACTGGACTTATTTGCTTATAAAATAGACAAGTCTCAACAACTTATCAGCTGTGTTGACGATACAGAGAAAAGCAAAGCTTAAGTAAGGAACCTGCCTGGTCAAGTAGGTGGAACTTTACTACATGATGCAACTTCTCAAATGTTGAAAACAAAATCTGTCAAATATGAGATCAATGGTGACTGTTTACACCTTTTTAAAGGAGCATCGAAAGTCAAGCCTTTTCATATTTTATTGTTAGTCTTGTTTAGTACAGACAGAGAGCACATTGTACAAACAAGGCACAGTTTTTCCAGCACGAATTTGAGACGGTCGGTGTGAAATAAAATAAATAAATAAAAGGTACATTGATTTGTCTTTGAGAGATTTGCATTACTGATTGTAATTGAAAAATATTTATGTAATTTATATTTTACAACCACAATGTTTTCCATTAAATACCTAGTAGACTGTGGAGACTCATCAGCATATATTTCCTGCCCCAGTCTCGCAATGAACCGCAAACAATTTCACTTCTCATCACACAAGGAAAAGTTAGAATGTTTATCTAATCTAAAGCTAAAATATTATTGATGTTGTAGTTGTATATAAATATATTTTGTGTATTGAATATTGTCTATTATTGTTATTATGAGGTATCTGCTGAGCCATCTACAACCACAAATAACTCTTCAAAACAGTCTTGATTTAAGTTCCACTCACCTTTGCATTGTAGGGCTTTTGACTGTTTTTAAATCAATGCATGAACCCTTTTCTGGTATCATGGAATGACAGATGCCAAACTGTCCTTTTATTTTGGCAGCCTTAGTACCTTCAGTGCATGATATAAAGTGGTGTATTTTTAAGAGTCATGAATAGTAGATTTAGAGTCTCAGATTAACCCCGGCGAGTCTGGGACTGCATGGATGGACTGTGGGAGGAAGCTGGAGTATAACCAACGAAAACCCACGCAGACATGCAGAGAACATGCAAACTCAACACAGACAGGCACCTGCCGAAGCAGTATTCGAACCAAGAACCTTCTTGCTGTGAGGTGACCGTGCTAATAACTGCACCACTGTGCCAAAGTTGAAATGCCGACCAATCTCAGCTGGGATTTACTCCAACCCCCTGGAATCCTTTCTATATATAATTTAGGGATGAAAACCGTAGATTCCCATTCGTGCTTACATTTGTAGCTTATGTCGAGGATGTTTGCAGGAGCACTTGAATCATTCAAGATTGTTTAAATTCATTAATTCACCATCTGTTGTCTGTGTAGCACACTCAAAATTCTGATGCACTACACAGGTCTATAAATGAATTGTCATTCTACAAGGCTACATGCACAAACATAGCTGTCAATGTATCTTACGTTGTAAACATGAAACAAATGAATGCTGGTCTTGTGGTGTCAGTGATATCTTGTGGTATCAGCTAACATTGTTGGCCTTAAAGCAAACTAAAGGAGTGAATAGTCTATGCAGCTGATTTACAATGTTCAGTTTATCAGTACTATTTCTGGTTTGTCAAGTAACATGATTAAGAAGGGCAATGTCCACAGCCGGTATGTTGCAGGTTCTGAAAGATGGCAGGCTGCAAAGATGCTCTTTCTCTCCCGCAGTGGAGAGGTTGGAGCGCTTATAGCTCCTGTTGTGTGATAGACACTGAAAAGATGAGTCACTCAGAGACCAACATAGTTGCCATGGCAGCCAGAAGCCTTGAGAGCAAGCCAGGGAAATGTTTTAGTTTCCAAATACAGACTGCTTCATTTATGCTGGATATTTCTGTCACTGGAGTGATATTTTGAGCCAAGCCATGATTTCTGAGCTAAGGTTGTTAAAGTTAACAGCGTATATACAGTACAGACACAGTTGTGGTCAATAAGTGCATTACTTTTTTATTTCCATGACTTGTTCCGACACATAAATCAAAAGTAGCTGTTCTGATATTTCTCTTTTTTATCTTTACTTCCTACTCTCTTGGTTGTAATAAAGACAATCTATCGATCTACTGATGTATAGCTGCTTCATTCTTCCTCTCTCATGAGAAGTGTATTGCAAAGATTTGGCATTTATCCACTATGAAATAGTTTTGACTCATGATGCACTCATGTTCAAAATCAATGCAGCTGAACCTGAGATATCTTTTTTTTTATTCCACACATTCTTCTTCTTTTCTCAAAACCTTGTTGTGTGTTGTGCAAGAAGTGGCTCATGTTGTTTGAAGCTGTTGGCCTCAAGTAGAGATGAGGAGCAAGCTGCAGAGGTCTGGTATGCTCACTTCTTTCTCCACGCTAGAGCCACAATTAGTCTGAACCCATCTGAGAACAAAGGAAACTAACCAAACCTGACCCGAGCCCAACAGCCCAATGTTTTCCCTGATTACAGGCATGTGCACTGTAAAAAAAAAAAGAAAAATCAAGTAGATTGCCCAGTTAACGTCGAATTCTGAAGAGCATTTCAAAATTACTTGCCACATCCTAAATCTTTTAAACATTTTTTTAAAGTAGTAAACCCTGTTGTGTAACTTGAATCAATTGATCTGATTTTGTAACAAAAGGCTTTATCAACTTTAGCACATTTTCTGTACAATTGTACTTAAAATACAGTACTGGTACTACAGAGTCCTCGTAACAGACTTTGATGTGTAAGACTTTCCCTTTAAACCACCCTCTTGGCTTTAACTATGTATATCATGTGTATTTTAAGCAAAAACCTTTGTTTGGTTTGTCAGACTATGGAAATATTTTGAAGATGTCAGTGTAGCAATTGTGATGACATCTTCATTGACATTTCATATTTAGTACCGGAGTTTTAGCCACTTTTATTTGCCAGCATCTTTTAGCGATGACTCGTCACTGTTCATGTCCACTGTTCATGAAATACGCGTCCACTCTTCTGGCCTATTGATTGACAAGTGCTTCCCAAACAGTCTGTTTCCATCCTGGCTGCCAGCTGATGGCAAATCGATACATCATTTTGTGACAGTGTTTGTGAGTTTTGTTTTGGTCAGGGCCACAGTTGTGGCCTCTGGCAGGTTAGGATTTG